ATGAGCAAGAAGTTGAACCCAGGCATTGTCTCCAAACCTACAGCTGTAATTACGGCTTCCATGAACCAGATAAGAATGCAGATCAGGTGTTACTCCAAATATAATCCTACCTTGAAGAATAGATTTTGAAATGCTCCAGTGCTACTAAATTTTGGTTTTTAATCATTCAAATTGGTAATGCATGAAGTAAAGTCCCTTAACTTAGCAGCACATTTCACAAAATCAAAATGCAATTATGTAAGACAGGAAAACTAATTGACATGGCTTAAAATATCTATTCCCTCTGTTACTTATCTACACATTACAAAGTGTTAGAAATAGGGCAGAATTAAAACATGTCTAAATATGGGTAATTGTTGGCCCAGTTGTGAGACATTATTTTTGTCAATTCCCGTCAGGACTATAGGACTGACAAACTTAACACAAGTGCTTTGAAGATGGTATTAAGAAACTAATGACCATCAGTACATGTAGCAGTTAATTCCCTCTCAAATGCTCCCTGCTATGTAGACAGAGCCCAACTTATCTCCCAACCATCAAAAAAGGCTAATGGAAGCCAACTTGGATTCTGGTAGTGGTGACCTGAAATAGCTGCCCATCCTTGAAAAGAGAAATAAAAATAAATCCCAATTACAATGAACCGGCATCACCCTCTGTTTGTCTGGACTGATAAATCGAATCTACAAAATGTATTGGGGAAAGCACATTAAAAAAGAAAAACAAGAAACCTTACAGTTCTTGCCTCTAAACTCTAGCTATTTCACATGTAGAGAGAGAATTTGCACCAGTAAGTCCAGTGGTCTACTGTCTTCAAGAACAGTCCCCAGGGATGGTGGAATTCTCAGGACCCATCCCCCAATTGCTCACATCCCTAAGGGGTCCTGGTGGTTGTGGGCACCTTGGTTTCCCACTAGGTTAAAGAGATTTAAGTTGGGTTCTTAAAGAGGAAAGGGGTGAATCCACAACCTACATATGGCCTACAAGGTACTTGGGGAGTCTGCAGTGGTCAGAGTCATTTTAAAACCTTCATAGGACCTAAGTCCCCATATTTTTAGAGGCCACCACTTCCCACATTATATCAAACATATTAAAATGCATCAGACATATGAAACATATTAAACTATACCCTCAGCATGTATGTGTTAAACACCTAAAAATACAAGGAACCTTCAAAAAGTTGATGGAAAGATTCGTATCATCTTTTAGTTCTATTTTCCCATGAACTTTTTAAAGTGCCTTCATATAATATTGAGGATACATTTTAATATGCTTCATATATATATACTTTTGCTATAAAGAGTTTTTGGAAAGATTAAAAATTTTGGCTTTGAGAAATGTTTAGTCTATGATAGTCAATGATTTCTCAGTAATCATTCCGCACACCCAGGAATTATTACAGAGTATAACATCTTACTTTTTTTCCAAAATTACTGTCAAATTAAACAGACATTCATGAAGACTAGAATTAACAATGAAGTTGACATAATATTATAGACGTTTTATTAAAATTATTGACTTTTTATTTTGTAACTGTCTTTTTATATTTTGAAACCAATGCAACATTTTTTATGGTCTCAGACACTTGTGTAGGCCCTATTGTGCCTCTAGTGCTTGCTGACAAAATGGCCTTTGCTGCTGGGGTTCCTGGCTTGGTCAGATAGAGAACGCAGCCCCAGCTTTCCATCCTGAAGTTATGGATTCAGTCATCCTGGACTCTGGCAAACACCATGGCTAAGGAAACATCAACATAAAGGACATAATCATCTGTTAAAATAAAGAATATTTTACTACAGATGCGCCCAGCAAAACACATAGACCTAAAATAAAACATTTCCTTCTCTTTACCTTGAGAATTGAGGTTTGGCAAATGCAGTTGGTTGGTTTCAGGCATTTTGTCCAGAAATGGAAACGTCAGGATTGCTTCTGGTTCTGGAGATTTTGGCTTTTCCACCTGGACCAAGGGCAACAGACATAAACATAAGTATTGTCCATTAATAAACGCACAGGTGAAGTAAAATGTAAGGATCCGTGGCTACTACAGAAGTCAATAAGCTCAAACACGTAATTTTTAAGTGGACACTTTTTGCCCTTTCTCTGACACCGTTTCATGCTTTTCTACATTAATATAGAGTCAATATTTCAGAGAAATCAAACAAGAGCACAAAAATGTGCTGATCACATTTCTCCAAACCCAATTCCATCTTTGGAATACATCACGGTTCCTCATTTTCTTACTGACCAATCACATATTCTCTTCCTGGTACCACACAATGCTGAACGTGTAATGTTAAGGACAATATACTTTAGCTGTTGGCAAAAAAGCATTATTATAAATAACCATTATCAAACAGTGCCGTAGCATTGATGCCTGTAGGGAATTTTCAAGGAATGTTAGACTACTTGTCCTTATGGTAAACACGAGTTCTAAAATTACAGGCTTTACAAATTCTTATGTTTGCCTTGTAAAAATAGATTTTTCCTGTTATTACTATTTAATTTTATTTTGTTTCTCCCTGAACTGAATAACTTTTAGGAGAAACACCCTCCTTCTGACTTGTTGCTTCTAATCAATCGACTGTTGAAAGACAGATTACCAAACGTATTAAAACAATGTCTAAAATGAGTCAGTAGACTCTGAGCATAGGTCTGAAGGAAGAGTGTGGCTGTGTCTGTTCCTGTCCTTTCCGTGGCTCGCAGGACTTTCTCTCTGTTCCTCTCTGATTCACTCTCTGGCTGGTGGCTGTGATCCCAATAGATGGATAGATTAATTTGATAACTAATGACCTCAGGGCAAGTAAGGCTTATAGCACTGTTTCATCATCATCTGATCTATGATTTGGTCCTCTGGATAAATTAAAATTAAAATTTCTTCTCAGTAGGATTTTATTTTTCTCTATGAATAATATATTCAACCCTAATATAATCCTGGAGAAAATACAATTAATCACCCATTCTGCATTACAGAGGTCAACCAGATGTCCAAATGAACTTCAGTGTTTAAACATACAACAAAAGCTAAGGTTTAGACTTACCAAAGCTGACAACCCTCAAATCTCAACCTCATATTATTTCCTCCATGGTGGAGGCTGGCAAAAGCATGTTTCAGATAATGCCTGGTTGCAAATAAAACAGTTAATGGTCAGCAGAAACACTCAGAGTGACCGTAATGTAAAAAGGTCAGCCTGTCTGCATGCGTGCTTTGTTCTATAAAGGTAACACTCTCAAGTGAAATTAGAAAATAAAAGTCATTGTAATGGCTGTCCTCACCTTTCTCTGTTTATCTAAGAACTACCTGTACAAGAGGGAAGGGAGAAAGGGGAGAAATTTACATGGGTAGGTGAGAAGAGCATTGGGCTCAAAGACCATTATTCATTTGCTAATCAATTAGCAGGGGTTCTTAACCTGAAATCCACAGAACAGAATTCAAGGCATACATGCATTTGGTACCACTTGATACAAAAGACAACTTAGTAAACCTGTGTACTTTATTGTATGCTTTAAAAAAATATTATTCTAAAATGATGTTTCCCAGATGACCAAAGGGTCCGTGGCACAAACAAACAAAAAACCAATAAACTTAAGAACATCTGAAAACAATTTTTTCCATAGAGGGGTAGACGTGACATTAGTGGTCCAAAGATGGATCACGTGGATGAGCTATGCAAATGAATACAAGTATTCATTTTGTTATAGTATTCATTTTGTTTGATATAAAAATAAAATCTACCAGTAGTATAGAGTTTTCCTTTCAGTTTGGATTTAAGTGGGAAAAAAGGTGAGTTTGAAAATAAGTAGATAAATAATGGTAAAAAGAGTAAGGTGGATGAGGTAAAACCTACAAAGGTGGGAAATCCTGCCTGGCCCCAACGTTTGACCTACAGTTGAGGTCGACTTTACAAACCTCCAGACCATTCTTTAACTCTCTGTGTATAAGAATGGGAAATAGCTAGGGCCCGAAACATCCCCAAAGCATCAAGGCAACAGGCATTTTAGAGGCTCTGCAAGGACGCATCACTCTAAGCTCCTTAAGGCCAGGGTTGTGTCTTGTTCTCTGTTGACTATTCAATACCTAGCACAGTGCCTGGCACATATAAGGTGCATGTAAATATTGGTTGAGTCAATGACAGATGAACGGGAACTAGAAGTGGTAAATTTTTCACTTTTAAGTCAAGTCCAAATTTAGGGTTAATTTCTGAAGGTGGAATACCACCCCATAGAAGAGTACTTCAAAACGTTCTTGTAAAGATTAATATAATCTTTTGATTCTATTTTCTATGAACTTTTTGAAGGTCCCTCATACAGTCTACGAGTTGTGTATATAAGTGCCTCCAGAGATTTTGATTTATTTGGTCTGGAGTGGGCTTGGTATTTTTTAAGTACTAAAGAGTACAAGGTTGAAAACAACTAGTGTAAATGACGAAGGCTTTTAGACGCTGTACCTGAAAAGGAAACATTCTAATGAGAATGAAATGAGACTCCAAACAAGGAAGAAATTTAATACAGATAAGACATAACCCATTATATCAGAATAATAATTTTCTAGGTTTCTTGTTATTCAAATCCAGAGGCATTGCTACAAAACAGGTAAATATTGGAAAGAGAATATTTAGTA